AACTTCTTCCCAGGCACTGAATACTAATATATACATACCTCACTCTTTAAGAAAGGGTGTGGTTTTAAGAAGATAATTTCTAGGACTAGAACTGTGAAAGCAGGAGGTATTTTTGGTAGGATGTATCCATAATATGATTGTTGGTGGCATCCTGCCTGCAGGCCCCTGCAGGCTGATTTGAAAGCAGACCATTTTCCAGCTTCATTGCCACTTCTCATCAAAAGAGGAAGAAGCTGAGTCCTGGCCTCTCCCACACGCAACCCAGGAGATAGTAAAGTGGGAAGCAGGGAGAGCTCAGGCCGTACGTGGGAGTAGGTCATAACTGGCACTACTCCCACTATTTGTCCATTGTTTATAAAGATTCAGACTCCAGCCACTTTGTTACAGTCTGAATTGAAGCATGTCATTAACATGCCGTATCAATAACTGACTCCTCGATTCTCGGTAAACAGCGTGCTTATCCAGTGAAAGGCCATGGTCCTCATAGAGCTGCCTGCATCATTATGAATGTATCACACATTTCTGGGAGCCACATATCAATGCTGCTTTCTCACTGCCGTGAATAACATGGAGAACAGTTATAAGGGATCTGTAATAAAACTGGGGCCTTTGAACCAGTGACTCAGGGCCGAAAACCTGCCTTCGTCACTCTGAAGCCACAAAGCTGTCAGCATGCAGTCACATCACGTTCTGTGAGTGAGCTTTAAAAACTACTGAGAAAATCAGAATGCCAAGCATCATAACCATATTCAACTTGTCTTCAAATTGACCCCTTATTTCCTACATTCTCATTTATGAATTAGATAAAATAGGAAGTAGAATTAGAACACAATATAGAGTATGATATTGTATGTAATAAAATTGTAGTATGGTGTATAAATAAAAACAGAAAACTCCAGTTTATAGAAATGAGGAACTCAGAAATGCTGTGTGCTTCTAGGCAGTTTTTTTGTTGTTGCAGTTTGGCCAGGGCCAGGTTCAAACCTGCCACCCTCAGGTGTATGGGGCCGGCACTCTACTCTCTGAGCCACAGGTGCCACCCCAGTTTTTTATGTTTTAAAGTGCCTCCATCTGTACAGCATCATTTCATGACACCTGTGACACAGCTGAAGTAGGGTCACTGGTCAGTTTTGTAAGTTGGCCTGTGAACCTTATAAATGAAACCACCACACACCATTGACTTCCCTGCCTTCAGTATGATGGCTTATTCATAAACTGATACATAGTGTCCCTGTGATGAGCTTTGAAACCATCAATGTTTTCTAAAAATTGTGAAGTAATTATTTGAATAGTTTAGCAATCTATGAATAAATTACTTTATTAGCATTGGGTGTGGTGGCTCACTCCTAAAACCATTCCAGTTTGGGAGAATGAGGTAGGAGGATTGCTTGAGACCAGGAGTTTGAGGCATGAGCAACAGTGAAACCTCGCCTTTACAAAAAATTTTTTAAAAATTAGCTAGGCATCACGATGTGTAACTTATAGTCTCATCCAGCTCCTGAGGAGGCTGAGGCAGGAGGTTTGCTTGAGCCTAAGAGTTTGAGGTTTGAGTGAGCTATGATGACATCTCTGTACTCTAGCCCTGGCAACAAAGCAAGACTCTCTCAATTAAAAAATTATAATAAAAATAAATATTAGTTATGTATGTACATTATTTTGCGCTTAGATTAAGAACAAGAGTATCAACATGATTGAGACCACTAATTACATAGTTTCATCAAACTTTAGTACCTGAGATACACTGTACTGTATCTTGTTCATTTTAAAAGAGGAAAGTGAGGCCCAGAGAGGTTAAATAACTTATATGGAAGAATGGTAACAGAAACAATTTGTATTCATTACTAATCTTCTATTTCTGCTGCATAGCACTGTATCCAAGTTACTCCTGAACTGTAGTAGCTGAGTACTCAGCAGTTAAACCAGCTGAAAAGTTCAGTTGGTTTATAACTTATAAATAATATTAACATATTAATATTGTAATTGTTACATATTTTATGTTATATGACACATATATTATAGCTGAGGAGGACAAAGGGCTGAACAAACCGTACTTGATGATGACATTCTTTTTTTTTTTTT